ATTAACTCAGAGCCTCTGACAGCCAGTCAGAACTACAGGCCGTTTCTCCCCCTTGGAAGCAATTCCATTAGGGGCTGCTTCAGATAGTGGGGATTGGAGAAGAAATATTTTAGTTTAGGACTCCAAGTCCTCAACAGAAAAAATATAGTCATTAATCTTAGAAGTCTAGCATGTTTTCTTGTCTTTTCTCTTCCTACCTACCACTTCCAAAGTAAATCTGAAGAGAATGAGGCATCATGGGGTATTTGGATTGGAAGAGGATCTGTATTTTGTGTGAGATACATACAGGCAAGAATTATATCCATACAAGAAACCCCTCCGCCAAAGTAGTTTGATTACTTAAGGTTGAATTTGTTATCCTTGGTGTTACAAAGGTGATTATTAATCTGAGTTAGAAATATTGATCAAATGGGATATTTTCCAAAATAAACAAATTTTAAAGTAAAGTTTCGTTTCAAAGCCTGAGTGAGCCAACAGCCAATTAAAACATTTTTTTGGTAGTTCTTCATTTGTTTGTTGGTTCATTTGATTATTCATTCATCTGACCAAGTATATAGGAGATAAGATATATATATACACACACACACACACACACACATATATATGTGTATATATATACACACACACACACACACACACACACACATATATATATATATATATATATAATGCCTGTTAAGTGTTGCAGTGTTGCACTTTAGGTCAAGTTCTGGAGATAGAGAAATGAGGAATGCAGATATGGCCCATGCCCTAGAAGAGCTTATTCTATTTTGCAGGAGGAAAATACTGACCACATAGTCACAACAATGAGTATTTAGTTACAAAGAGTCTTGAAGTGCTGCAAAGATAGAAATTTCAGGATGACAAGAATATATGAATAGTAAAATAGATGAAGGGAGTTCAAAGAAATCTTCTGTAAGGAAGAGCTGAGATCTGATTGAGGAGTGGGAGTAAAGTAGACAGGGAGTGGGTTGGGGCACGCAGCAGCAGCTTGTGAGAGAGCATTGAGACATCAGAGAATTCTCCAGAGCTGAAAGTCACTGATGGAAATCAGAGAGCAAAGAAGATGGTGGTGTTAATTAGGCTGGAGAGGTGGCTGGGACAGATTTTGGGGGGACATATCTAGAGCTGATTTCTTATTAAAATTGTTTGATCCAATTTAGCTAGGATGTTTCCCAGTTTTCTTGTAATGGTTTGCAACTGACTGTGATGTATACCAAAGTTTAAGAACACTTTCTATAATAATAATAGTATAATAAATTTATAGTGTTTAAAAATCTTTTTTGATCAAAACAAAAGAAATGTAATATAAACTGACTTTATTCTGGACTTTCAGTAAGGCATTTTGTTATGTATTTTATTGAATTTTCAGTACATGCTTATCTGAGACACTTTGGAATGAAAGAAAATACCAAGAGTAGAAATGAAGATATCCATAATTTTTTCACACAGAAATTATTAAATGACATTGGGGCATATTTTCATAATTTATGAGTTTATCATATATATTTAAGAGCATGATATTTGCTATGTATTTATTTATCCATACATTTATTGACACAGACTAATTGTGAGAGATTACAGAGATTAATTATGAGGGATTACTTAACATTACTTGGCATTGAGTTAGTGATTCTGCTTTAAACAATGCAGATAGAGTTGCTATTTCCATGGGGTTATGTTTCCGTGACTCTTTATATTCTATCTCATGCTTACACAAGTAGTGCATAAAACACACATGTATATTCTAAAGAATGAATATAAAGCAAACAACTGTTAGAGTATTTTTAAATTAATTTACCTGAAAGTCAGAATTACAGAGAGAGAGATCTTCCATCCACGAGTTCATTCCCCAGATGGCCACAACAGCCAGTTGCTGGACCAGGCTAAAGTCAGGATCCAGGAGCTTCTTCCAGGTCTCTCATATGGGTGGCAGGGAACCAAACATTTGGGCCATCTTCCACTGCTTTTCCCAGGCCATTGGCAGAGATCTAGGTCAGAAGTGGAGTATCTAGGACACAAACTGGCACCTAAATGGGTGCCAGCATCACTGTTAATGGCTTAACCTGCTATTCCACAACACTGGCTTCTAACTGTTCAATTATTAACCAGGACAAGA